AAAATGCTCAACATCGCTAATCAGCAGAGAAGTGCAAATCAAAACCACAATAAGAAATCACCTAACCCCAGTGAGAATGGCCTTTATCAAAAAGTCCCAAAACAATAGATACTGGCATGGATGCAGAGAGAAAGAAACACTTATACACTGTTGGTGGGACTGCAAACTAGTGCAATCTCTATGGAAAATAGTATGGAGATTCCTCAAATAACTAAAAGTAGACCTGCCATTTGATCCAGCAATCCCACTACTGGATATTTACCCAAAGGGAAAAAAAGTCATTTTATCAAAAAGACATTTGCACTAGAATGTTTATTGCAGAACAATTCACAATTGCAAAGATGTGGAATCAACCCACGTGCCCATAAATTCATGAATGAATTAACAAAATGTGGTATATGTACACAATGGAGTAGTACTCAGCCATTAAAAAAAAAAGAATACAACAATCTGGATGGAACTGGAGACCATTCTCCTAAGTGAAGTAGCACAAGAATGGAAAAACAAACAACACATGTACTCACTATTAAACTGGAATAACCAAATGCACTCACGTGCACAGCTGAAAGTAAAACTCAATGGAAATCATGCAGGTGGGAGGGGGGAGGAAGGGATGAGTGAAATCATAACTAATGGGTACAATGCACACTATCTGGGCGATGGGCACACTTATAACTTTGACTCAAGCAGTACAAAATCAATCCATGTAGCCAAAACTTTGGTACTCCCATACTATTCTGAAAGAAAAAAGAAAAAAAAAATTACTGATACAAAGATGCGTAGCACACAATTCACAAATATGGTCACATAATCACCTAATGGTGGGCTATGTTCTGAGAAATGTGCCATTAGGAGATTCCATGGCTGTGTGAATATCAAAGTGTATTTACACAAATCTAGATGGCCCATATTTTTATTTACATATGTGTTTTCATATGGAAAACCAAATGTCCCAGCACTATTACTGAACATCAGTCATTTTCCCTACTTGATGTGCAATGCCAAAGCGAGTGTCATATATCAGGTTTCTGTATCTACTTCATTATAATCTTGCAGGACCACCATCATGTATGTGGCCCATTGTTAACCGAAATGTTGTTATTCAGTGCATGACTGTAATAAAATATACACTATTCTTTATCATAAATTCCACGTAGCCAATTGATTCTCACAGAATGGTTTTGTTGATCTTTGCTGCACTTTTACATCTACAGCCAATGTACTGTTCCCAGTGACAAGTATAGTTCTGACATGAATGTTAATTTTAATATTTTCATTTCTTTTAACAAATAAGAGTAAAGTGAAACAACAAAGACACGTATAGGAACTTCTCTTGTTCGGCAATGATGTGCATGACTACTGTGCTGAATGGTAGGGTAGTTTCTGAATACTGGAAGAACATCTCAGTTTTTTTGTGCTAGTCACAATGTAAGGGCTACAGAGACTACACTTTAAGTTTAACATGCAGCCCTTTCACTGTGTCCCTTTCACTGCATCACTTTATTAAATTCAGTCATCAAAGCAATAAATCAAGCCCTGACTCATTGACCGAGAGTGACTTGACTGAACGTGGAGAGAGGAAGGGACACGCAGTGGCCCACCATAGTGCTGCCCACACAGATATAAGATATAAAATGCTTCAGAGCATAAAGTATGATAAAATAATTTAAGTGATGCCTTTTCAGTATTTATTACCTGTTTTTCAATATAATGGCTCACAAAATTCCTGGAAGCCTACCCCAGCCCATGAGCCCACCCAGCACCCTGGCCCTGGCCTCCAGCCCTCAGTGTGCGAGGCAGCGTGTGGAGCAGAGGGCTCGGAGGTTGGGGAGCAGGGCAGCTAAGCCCCACAGGCTGGGCCCTGCCAGGCTCAACCTGGGGGACAGTCGGGGGGCCCTTGACACAGCCCACTCACCGAGGAGGCCACCTCACTTTATAAATCATGACCTTTTTCATTCCATTGCTAAGCAGTCCAAATATTTTAACACCACACAGGGATGTTTTGGCAGGTGTAAAACTAGGGAAAATGGAGAAATGGGTGAGCAGTTGTACAGGTAGGGGGGAAGAGCTCTCAAGGAGGAATAAAGGCCTGTTCACAAGCCCCGCGCATGTGGCACGGGGCCAGGAGGCAACCGTAGCCCACGCGGCATCTGAGGGGAGAGCTTCCTCCACAGCACCTCGGGCTGCAAGATCCAAGTCGGCGTGGTGACAGGAGGTTTTGATTTTGCAACTATCGGAACAAGTTTAATGCTTAAAATCCATGGTTTAAGAGATTTTATTTGAAGGTTCTATTTTTAAAAGCATCCTGGTGTTTGTATTGAAACTGCCCCAAAGACGCTTTCCTTCAGAGCCATAATCCCTAGAAATGCAACCCCACCAGAAGAACGCAAGCTCGCTCCTCTCCCTGGGCGCACGCTGGGCTGCAGAGTACAGCGAGGTCAGCTTCGCGGTGGGTCCAAGCCACACAGGGGACGAGCGTGGGTCCAAGTGACCAGCCAATGCTCAGGGCGGCATTATGAGTTTCAGGGCCCCTTCCTCCATAAAAAGGTATTAAAAATTCTATTTTACGATTGCATTGATAGAAAGACAAATATATTAATATTGTACATTAAAATGCTTACTTTGACCTAAAAATTAGCTTTTTTCCCTCTGATTATAAAAGAAATGAAAACATTTTCATGGGCTCCGAAAAGCACCGTGGGTGCTGGCACCGTGCCTGCTGGGCTTAACGGGTCGGCTGGCGCTGCTGACTCTCTCAGACGTAGCGCTGGGCCCTCGGGCCTAGATGTGCCCAGCAGCAGGACTGCAAGGTCGTGGGCCGGGTGCTCAGTTCGGGCAGGGAGGGGTGACCATGCAGCCCAGCCCGATGGCGTTGAGACCAGGGGCGCCTGATTCTGCCGCTTCCATGTCCTCTCCCACCCACGGCCCTTGCTGTGGCCAAAACAAGTGGCCACATTGACCTGGAATCACTGACTTGCCTTTCCTTGGCTGTGTGTTCATCCAGATGACAGATAAGCAAGTAGGAGAACCCCAGGGATGGGTGGGCAGCGCCCTCCTCAGCTGCTCCCTCTGACCTGGGGCCAGCCACATGCTCTGCCCACTCAGCCAGGCCCATCTGTCCCAAATGACATCATGCCAGGGACTGAGAGCCGGCGGAGGCCTGGAACTGGGTCTCCGGGCCTCGGTTTCTTCATCTGTCGAATGGTTAGCTAAAGCCTGACTCCCACCCCTGGGGAAGCGCATACAGGAAAGTAGGAGCCAAAGGTCTTTGTCAACAATTGCCCGCCAGGAGGACTCGCTCATCTCCCTGTAGCTCCAACAAAACAGCAGAGGGGCTTCCCTGACAGAGGGAATTTCAACCCTGGCCGAGGTGCCAAGCCCTGGAACGTCACAGCACACCAATGCAGGCGGCCAGCCCAAGGCACATGATCACAGAGGATGACTTTGCCCAGGGTTTGAATGAAATTTTTGGAAAAACTCCAACCCTGAAGGGGTCTCCAACAGCCTTCTTGAAAGCAGGAAATCTGGCAAATGCGGTTTTCCTGTTAACCAGTTCTGAAAGAGCCACAGCCCTTTGAAGGCTGGCTGCAATGTGGTCCTTTCCCTGGGGCCATGGTGGAACCCCCAAAGGCAGTTTCTGTTCAAGAGGGGCAAACTCTGGGCAGTGAGCCAGGACTGGGGGCTGCAGATGCCTTCCTGGGGGCAGGAACCACAGGCCAGGCTCAGCCTGCCTGGGGTCTCCTGAATACCATGTCTGCTGAGGCGTGGAGCATAAGTTTTTCCTGTATGAGGGGCTGACGTATTGGTGCAATGAGCAGATAGTGCAATGAGCGGGGTGGAAATCTGGTCTGCTTGCACACCTCCTGTGACAGGGAGCTCACCATCCACCTGGGCCATCCACAGAGAAAACATCTTTGAACCACTGTCTGAATGGAGACTCCTTCCTTATACAGAGCCAAAGTCTGTCTCCCTGTGTCTCTCACCCACGGGTGCTATGGCCACAGAGAACAGGCTCAACCTCTCTTCTATTCCAGACCTATTTGAGGATGGGGTCATGACCCTGCTCCAGCTTTTTCTTTTGTCAGCAAAATATTCCTATCTTTATTAATAATTTTGAGAAGCAACTTCCAAAATGATCTCCAAAAATCTCGAACAATTTATACCACTACACCCTCAACCACACCAAGTATTATCAATCTTTTTAATTTCTGGCAATTGAAAAATGTTTGTGTCACTGTGACATTAGTATGCATTACACGGATCACAAGTAATACCCAACATCTAGAGCACGCTGCGTCCCAAGGACCGTCTTTGTACTTTATACCTAGTGATGCATTTATCCTCTGACAACAAGCTGTGAAGCTGGCGGTATGTGGATTAACCCAAATATTATAGATGAGAAAGCGAGGCAAAACATTTAGGCAACTTGCCCACTGTTGAAAGCTAATAAATGAGCCCTCCAAAGACCACGGGCACCGCAGTTCTTGTCCTGCTGGGATTCAAACCCAGGTAACTCCCCTGCCAGCCTGGATTCCCAAACTGCTGCCACATTCTCGCCTGATAATAAGGTCAAACATCAGTTTCATATGCTTTCCGATCATTTACCTATTTACATCTTTCTCCCCTCGTTCGATTGGGTTGTGTTTTTCCTATTAATTAAAAAGTCTATCATGAATGTTAAGTTGTCATTATAGGTGTTGCAAATATTGCTGCCAATATGTTATTTGTTTTTTACTTTTGCTTGGTTATATGGAAATTTTTAGTTTTTAATGGAGCCAAGTGTCAATTTTTTTCATCTATGGCTTTTGGAAATCATGTCTTTTTAAGAAAGTTCTTAACTCCAAAATGTATTTAGGATTTAATATGCTGTAAGTTCTTTAATCCTAATATATTAGGTTGCCTCTCATAAAATAGAACTATTATAAATAATTAATATGTATAAATGTAATAATAAATATAGATTTATAAATATTATGTTATTTTCTTCTAGTATTCTCCAATTATTTTCTTCTTGTATTCTCATCTATTTTAAACTTCAATGTTTTGGAATTTCTTTTACATGTGATATACGAACATAACATTATTTTTGTCATATAGATACCTGTCATAATACCATTTATTTGGACAACAATCTGAAATACTTCTGCTTTAAAACATCTCGTTTATCAGAAACTAAAATCCCACAATTAGGTGTCTGGTTGGTGGTTCCTATCCTGCTCCATGAGTTAACTTATGTTTTCCCACACCAGTACCACTTTAATTACCATAGCTTTATAGTATATTTTTATACCTGGAAGGACAAGTTAATCCTCTTTTTTTCTTAATTTTTCCAAGTATACTGTAGAATCAGCTTAAATTTCCTCAATAATCTCATTTTTTAATACTGTGTTCGATTTTCAGATTCAGCTGGGGAGACAGGGTCTGGAACCACCCTGAGGTCCCCCTGCCAGGAAAGCAGGGCCACTCTCCCGACGGGTGCCTGGCCTGCTTGTCTCTTCCCTGCCCTGAGAGGTTGTCCAGAAAGGCCCCCACGGGCTTGGGGACTCTGTAGAGTCTTGTGTCTTGGGCTGGGCTGCAGGAGCGCCGGGGCTCCTCCAGGCAAGGAGAGTTAAGGGCCCTGAGTGGTTTCACGAGGGCGAGTCCTCACCACGGGGTCCCCACACCAGAATGGGACACAGGGACCACACGGTCCTCTGGGGAGCCTTGCCCGGGTGTCCTTCACTGTCTCACCCCCAGCCTCCTCACCGGGCCCTCGGCATCTCCCTCCACCATGGATCCGCCCTCTGCCCAGGGCCCAGGGAGACTGGCCATGGGTGCCCTGTCTCCAAAGTCACTGGCCCCGTCTGTCCCCTTGGTCAGTCTGTCAGGCGGGTGGGCTGCGTCTCTGCCAGGGTGAGCATCCGCAACGGCCTCGCCGGCTTCTCACTGCTCAAGTCAGAAGGGTTTTATGCACTTTATGAAAACAAAACAAATGCTTCCCAGAACCCTCAGGCCCCATTAGCTCTAAGGGGTCCCACGCCTGGCTTTGAAACCACAAACTCCTGGCAGGCGCCTGTCTCATCCCAGCGCCACTACCGAAGAGGCCCGGGTCCCCCACCCATGGGCCTGAGCTCCCCACCCATGGGCCTGAGCTCCCCACCCATGGGCCTGAGCTCCCTGCAAGGCCAAACCCCCTCCCCATGGGCCTGAGCTCCCTGCAAGGCCAAACCCCCTCCCCATGGGCCTGAGCTCCCCATCCATGGGCCTGAGCTCCCTGCAAGGCCAAACCCCCTCCCCATGGGCCTGAGCTCCCTGCAAGGCCGAACCCCCTCCCCATGGGCCTGAGCTCTCTGCAAGCAAGCTCCCCCCCACCCACCCCTCCACTCCACCCCCCCCATGGGCCTGAGCTCCCCACCCATGGGCCTGAGCTCCCCATCCATGGGCCTGAGCTCCCTGCAAGGCCAAACCCCCTCCCCATGGGCCTGAGCTCCCTGCAAGGCCGAACCCCCTCCCCATGGGCCTGAGCTCCCCACCCATGGGCCTGAGCTCCCTGAGGCCCGGCCCGTCCTTGGGCCTGAGCTCCCCGCAAGGCCTGGGACCCCTGCCTGTGGGCCGCCGCTCCCAAGGATCAGGACGGCCCCCACCGAGGCAGGTGTAAGGCTGGTGACAGGCCCAAAAAGCCCCCCAGCCCCTTTTGGTCGCTGTACTGGAGATGCTGGCTGGCGGAGATGCGCCCCTGTGCGCTTGGCTCCATCGGGGCCACACGGCAAGCATCCGGACAGAAGGCCCCGGAAGCCCGCAGTCGCCGCAGTGGGCAATCCCACAGCCTGCTTAGAAGGCTGTAAAAGCCCTCACCCCGCCTCAAACGGCGCGACTTCTCCAGCCCCGTTCTGTGGGACCCGTGGACCCCGCCCGGGAGCGCTCCATAAACGCCACGTTTGTTTGGCTCCATCCTGTTTCTTCTTCTTCAAACTTCACAGCCGGCACACGCGCGACGCCGGCGCGCCCCGCCCAGCCCTCACCGGCTCCGCGGGGGCCGGGACGCCGTGCTCGGCCTCCGGGTCCTGAGGGAGCCGTGACGACCCCTGTCCGCGGACAGCGGCGCCTCAAAGGAGACGCGCGAAGGAGCGCCCCAAATGGCACAGCCGCGCCCACAGAAAGGACTCCGCACTCCAGACCCCGCGTCTCCCCGCGCCGCCCCAGCTGGGGCAGTGCTTACCCTGGCAAGTGGCGTTTGGCGGGCGAGAGGGACGAAGGCCCGAAGCAGAAGGCCCGCAGCTGCGCCCACCAGGTCCTGGGACCCGTCACGGGAGGAGGTCCCGGCTGTGCCCCCGAGGCCCCCGCGGAAGGAGGCCCGGCCGCGGCACCGCAGGTCCCCTTCAGGACGCCGGCCGCGGACGGGCGCCATCTTGGTGCGGCCCTCGCGCCACAGTCTGTCGGGGATGCAGGAAGCCCGGCAACGCCGCCGCCCAGGTGCAGTCTGCACCTTAGGGAAGAAGCGGGGCTTGGTTGTGGCGCCCGCCCTGGCTCTCAGGGGTGCTCGTGCCCAGAGGGGCCTTCGCAGCCGTCCCTTCACAGCCACGGCCACCACGGCGCAGCCCTCAGGCTGGCGGCCGGCCTCGTCGGTCACCGTGCAAAGCGGGCACTTCCGGAAGCCGGAGGGAAAGCCGGCGGGGAGGCTGCTCGTCGCAGTGCTGCTAGGCAGGGCACGGTGGCGGCACCTGGCCGGAGCGGATCGGGAGGTGACCCCTGCCCCGTGAGGGACAGGACGCCGGGCGACCCGCAGAGGAGCACCGGCGCCTCGAGCAGGGAGCCTGCGGTCTGCGGCAAAGTGCCGGCTTCCTCTGCGACTTTGCATGGCAGACTTGAGTGCTTTATGATGATGCATCATGGTGATGGCGATTTTGAAAAGCTTTTTCTGAGACTAGAATGGGAAATTTGAGAGTGCACCGAGGACAGGATGAACGAGCGCAGCGAGTGTGACTTGCGGGCGCGCGGCCGCACGGTGCCGGGCGGAGTTCCGCCTCCAGCGTCAGCGCCTCTGGAGCACGAATTTCGGTCGCATCCGTTGGCACAGCCGTGAGCCTTCCCGGCTGACCGGAGCACGGCCTTCCCGTGATATATGTACTTAAACTCTTCTTTTGAGCTCCATTTTCTTACCAGAAAAACCAATTTGCTTGGTTTAAAAAACTGATAATCAATTTGGTACTCAGCTCTAAACATGACCTGAAAAGCAAGTTTCATAGTTTAAAAAGCCATTTAAATTTCTTTTCTCTTGCTGAATGAAAAAGAAAAATCTCTCCTAATCTTCCTTTATAAAAAAAAAAAAACACATAACAAGCAAAAGGGGATTCACTTCTGCCCTAATGTAAAGCTTGTATAAACTATTCTTACCAAAACTGCTTTTAGAAAAATATAGAAGCTTTTTATTAATAAAGTGTATCAAAGGGTAGAGTTAAACTCAGAGCCCACATGGAGCAAGCAGCTCCTCTCTGGAGCTTGGTAACAGCTATCCCTTCCCCTCCCACTAAGCTTACATTTTTCTCACTTCTATAGTCAGCAGTAGAGATCGCCTCCCCAGGAGGTGCCATGAATGAGGTGATTTACTCTGCACTTGTAGGTGTGAACAGAAGATTCCAGAGGTAGAAGCTGAGTCCAAGGTCTGTGTGTTTCATTCATTCCCCGATGGTGATGCATCTGAGCGCACGATCTTTGCACCCAGCCTTGTTTTGAAGCACGTTCTCAGATTGGTCACTCCAAGTCTGCTGCTGTCTGATACCAGCTATTTATTCAAAAGCTGGTCAAAGGTCCTAGCCATCTTCTCTTATTCATGTGCCATGACACTGTGCACATCAACGAAGATTCTCTGCAGCCTAGAAAAGAAGCTCAGGAATATCTCAGGGGCACTTGTCAATATACAAACAGAATTTCTTACCATCCCAAATCCTAAATTGTACTTCATGTCACTAAATGGCATCATTTTTCTTCACAGATTCCAGTTTTTTAAAAAGTTGATTATTGAAAAGAAAAATAATTATGAATATCAAAGTAAAACGCTTGAATTTTAGTCTTGAACTATTTTTTCCAAAGGTTTACACATTTCCTTTGAATATAAACTACTGTCAGCTCAACTTTTAAATTCAGATTCCTAAAGTATGACTCCAGTGTTCCCTGAAAATTTATAAACCAAAGTGGAAGAAAATATAATATTTAATAATCCCATTTATATATTTTTTCAAAGTATTAAATAAGATTAGGATCTAATCTGTCTATGATAAGATCTCATAATAATCACATGTAGAGACCTCCTAAAACTTCACAAATGATCTTAAAGTTTCTGGCCAATGCTTACCTAGCTTATAAAACTTCAATTCATACAGAAAAGGGGTAAGCATCACAATATGAATGAAAAAATGTAATTCCCTGAACTTTCTTCACAAGAAAAACTACACACAATTGAAAATGAAAAATCAAAATGCTTATGTTTTTTACATGTGTGAATTGAATTGCACAATCCATACACTTATAGAAAAAATATGTGATTATTTTTAATGATTTATGTATAAAAGAAAAAATAAATTTTATGATACAATTTGATAGACTACTTCATACAAAATTTTACTCACATACAATGTATGCAATTTTTTGTAACCCAAAAATTCTATTCACATATACAAATTCATAAAAGGCAGACAACTTGAAGCAAAATAGGGTCCATTTAGGGTATGGCTAAGTCATTCAATTCAGTAGAAAAGAGATTATAAATATACGAAGGACTAGTTAACTAATACCCCTCCCCTACCCCCCAAAATGTATTTAGGAAAACATTAAAGATTTGTATGATCTGAAGAGAAATCAGAGAATCCAAAATGTATTTAGTATGATCTGATCAAATAGAATTTTATGATGTACTACACAAAGGAGAAAAAGACCAATGTTTCAGAGTGGTAGATCTTAATAACCTGCTCCTGAACTTACTTAGCTTAGAAAATCATATAACTACCTCAGTAAAAAATTTATTTTGGAAATTGCATTAAGAAAAACCAAACTGTGCCATTTGTGCTAATCCATAAAGAAACAAAACAGACCTCAGGCGATTCTCACACTTTAAATGGCACTCCTTAATTTAGATAATAAACAATATCTAGAAATAAAAGTATTAGGACCCAGATTTTAAGACCCATAAGTATGTCTCCAAACACAGTGAAATCCTTTATACAATAACTTAAAACTTTACTATTTACAACAGTATATATAAGTGAAGAACTATAAACCATGTTTTAAAAAACTTTTGCCTTAAAAAAACAATTTCTAAAAAATGGCTGACATCAAAAAAATTTTATAAATTGGTGCCTTTTAACTCTTCCTTGTGCAGTTTGTCCTAAGCTACCTGTCTCTCAGGTGTGTAGGCACACACACCATGCAAAGGAAAAGCCATAGTGTCAATGCCTCACAGAGCAAGACCCTCTTCTTAAAGAGAACGAGGACTCAAGAGGAACCGCACTAGCAGCTGTGCGAGGAAAACCCAGGGAAAAATGTTGAAGAAAATGAGGATGTAGCCTATGACACAATTTCATGTCCAGACAATGTCCATAAAGACCGTACTAAAATCTCCTTTTAAAATTTATGCTTTTTAAGGGCTAGAAACACGAAAGATAATAGGAACCAACAAGAAAATTACATAAAGAAGTATATATAATTATAAAGAGGTTAAAAAAAACAATTTTAAAAAGCAGTTGATCTGTAACTTATAAGAATACAGGCTGAAATTAACCCTTTTCAAATGAAAATTAACTAAAAATATAATTTATTGATTTCAGGCCTCATTCTATTTACAAAGTGCCCATCAAAAAGTGTACAGTCATCCTTCATTCAGTGCTGACCTCTGGAAGTCCTTTCATTGAACTGGAATAAAGGACCACTGTTCCCTGGAATGCCGACACCGCTTACCTGCTAGAGAATTCTGGTGCAGAACTTAACAGGCTGCAGCAGAACACAAAGAACAAGCTTGCAAAAAAAACTCACAAAGGCGTTGGGAAGAGCTATTTATAACTAGCAAATATTCCGGCTGGAAGGAGGTAAGAAAACATGGTCTTTTTACACACTTAATATGCTCGAAGTTTGAAAGCTCTGAAAATTAGCTGGATATTAACATTGTAAACTGTTCATTTTCTGAGCAAACTGGAACTTAAAGAGTGATGATTTTCTATCTTCGTTTTTAAACTGATGGTGACTTTTCATCTCTGAAACTTATGAGTGTTCACCTTCTTGAAGTCAAATTGATACTATACACCATTTTCTGGATTTTTTCTTCATTCTTTAGGATATTGGCCTTCACGGCGCAGATCTTGTCTTGCTGGTCTTTGACCAGCTGCTCCAGCTCAGCCAGCTCGGCCTTCAGGGGCTCCACGGCACAGTCTGTGATGCTGCAGAGAACAAAACCAGCAGCTCATCAACATCTCGGCTCACCTTACGTTTGCTTCTTAATCAAAACACCGAAGACAAAAGTAAATATTCATTTCATCCAAAGAAAAAGAGTAAAATACAAACATATACAATAATGGTATTAAAGAGACAAAACACTCACACCTGGGAAAAATTTATTCCTTATTTTCACAGCCCCTGCCACCACTAAAAGTGAAGTCAAACATGAGATTTATTTATTATTTTTTTTAAAAAAGCAGCTAATATTTCTTCAATGGTAGACTTGCAGTCCTTAAATTATATATGTAACAGAGAGCCTCAGGGTACAGCAAGAAGGTGTGCAGCCAAATCCCCATTGACACTAAGAGAACCACTGCCTGGACCTGGCCGGCCCCTTCCTCACCGGGGGACCCCCCCCCTCCAGGAGAGGCGCACAGGGCTAGGAGGGCTTCCTCGCTGAGGTGTCCCTGGCTCACTTGTTCATGACACTGCCAGGAGACCTTTTAGTTGTTGGGTAAATACTGGGAAAAGTCTAGAATATAGGGTTGGGAAAGCTGAAGTCAAAATTAACCTTTCCTTTTAGGTTTTTAATGGCATATAAATACAAACTAAAATACAAAACAAGGAAGAGCAGTAGTTTCAAACCATCCTGCCATAAAGGCAAATCTGGTTTTGTAAGGAAGAAGTGTCTGGGATGGTATTTTTTAATACTTTAAATCAAAATGCAAGAAGTTCAAACCAAGTATCGTGCCAGAATGGGCACCAAAAAGTTCTTGGTGATTGTCTAATTTCCTTCATGTTGTACATTTTAAATTGTAAAGGACTTTTTAAAAATAAGCAGACTAATACTAAAGAGAACTTCATTATAATATACTTTTAATTACATAGACCTATAGGTATATCATCGAGTCAAATCATATTTTCTGAAAAAAACACTTAATGATTGATAGTTACATGCATTCCAGATTGATTAAATATAGTATATCAAACACTGCCCTAAAATAAACCTCACTATGGCTATCATATTTCTTTTAGTCACACTTAAAATAGGTTTGCCAATATTTCTTTTAGAGTAAAAAATTAAAATACTTAAAAAAATCGTAGACATTTACAAACATTAGGGCTTATGATAAGACACATGAAAAAATGTTATCCAAACTGCAAAGTTCTCTGGATTTATTAATGTCTAAATCTATTTTGTGTATGAACATGAACTCCAAATCTTTTCTAATTGCTACAAAGAAATGCTTGCTGTGGTATGAATGAAGGGATATCGGTTCTCCTTGTGAGGGAGTAAGGAAGGGAGGGTTGAGAAATAGTGAATTCTAGGGAGATTCTCCCCAGACTCTGGGCCAGACCCATGGGCATCCCAGAGTATTTCTCTCCCATTACCCCCTCGACTCCCGCCCCCCACCCCCACCAACCTCTGTCCTTTCTACAAGACTCCCTCTTTATTACCTCCTCACCCCCAACTCCTTCTGCAGGGCCCCCTCCTCATTACCCCCCTACTCCCTCTGCAGGGCCCCCATCCTCGTTAACCCCTCCTCCAGACCTCTGCCCCTTCTGCAGGGCCACATCCCCACTACCCCCCAACCCAGCTCCTTCTGCCAGAGCCCCCTCCCCTGCCCCCCCAACCTTGACCTCTGCTCCTATAAGGCCCAGCCTCCCTGTTAGCCCTCCCACCTCTGCTCCTTCTGCAGGGCCTCGGCATGCTGCTTGTTCTCGCTGTGCCACAGCTGCAGCTCATTCTGCATGGCGTCCACATCCTCCTGGAGGTAGTCCATGATCTTCCCCAGGGGAAGTGCGCTCTTGCACAGGGTCTGGATAGACACACGGAGCTTCTCTATCTCCTTGGAAACAATGTCCTTCTCCTTCTTCCATGCTGACTCAAAGACGAGTGATCTCTCCTACAGTCAGGGAAACACAGGAAGAAGCAGCGTCCTCAGTCTCAAGGCAGGCCGGGGCTTGCTAAGCACATTGCCACAGGGACAGCAGGAAAGGCACAAGTGGGGACAGTGCTGGCTGTGGGACACCACCTCACTTTCGTGACAAGGGGAGAGTAATGCCACTCAGCAGGGTAGATGTGAGGTGCCCTGCACTATGGGGGCACACAGCAGTCTGGGGAGAGGCTAATCCTTCCCTGGCCAAAGGCGACAGGGTCTGTCTTTACCTGGAAATCTGTCTAAGGGGCAAATTTCTACACAGTAAGATTCTAGTTCCCAACTAGCCAGAAACTTATTGTAGTTATTGTTTCAAGAGCTCAGTACCATGGATGATTTTCCCAAATAGACTGGCAGAAAGGGGGCCTGACCCTTAACTACTCAAAGGGACCATCTTTCCACCCAAATGACTCCAAAATCCAGCTGGCCAGGAGGAAGAGGAAAGGAAACACAAAGGAGAGGAGGAAACTGGTGACGTGGAAATGAAGGGATGGTGAGTTGGCAGAGGAAACCAAAGCAACAGCACCCAGTGGCAGAGGGCCAAGTCGACACAGCTGGACTGGGCTGGCTAGTCAGGAGGTTAGAGTCTGGGGACCTGGTGCAAGCTGGGGGGGGGGGGCGCTCAGCAGCAGGTGACAGAAGTGAGGACAAGGAGACGGAGATGAGTGGGAAACTGCATTCAGTTTTGGCCAGGGGTCCTTGGGCTCTTTGACAAGCAATGTTTAGAATTCTCTTTATATGAGCTTTGATCACAGACATCTCTGAATTTCAAAAACTAATATAAGTTGGTAAGAATCAATAAGCTTGGGAAATTTCTCCTATTTTTCTTTAGGAAGCTCTCCCTGGGTACCCTCACCTCCCCCACCCCCCCAGACTGGCTAAAATACCCTTACCTCACACACTTATACAATGAGCTAAATGCATTACATTGTAATTAATTCACTTTTTGTTTTAGTTTTGAGCTTATCATACCTATATAACCACTTGTATTACTTCTAATGCTAGTTTCAGACTGTAGGCTCCAGGAGGGTAGGACCCAATGTCTGGATCTGCTGTGGTCCATATAAACTCTCCTTAAGTATTTGTGAAGTGAACAAATGAAATGGATAAATGATTTAAGTATTAGGATCCTAGCTCTACCACTTACTGGGTTGGACAAGCATAAGGAGAGCCTTAGCATAATGCCTGGCACATAGAAAATGTTAAATAATTGGGGCTAGAAATAAAAGATAAAACACAAAGAACTACTAAGTTCAACAAGGTTGCAAGAAACAAGATAGACATACAAAAATCAATTGTATTTCTACATACTAGCAATGAACACAGGGACACTGAAATTTAAAATACAGTGTCATTTATAATTGCTCAATAAAAGAGAAATGCTTAGTTGTTAATGTAATAAAACATGTATAGGACCTGTATATTGAAAACTACACAATGTGGATAAAAGAAATCAAAGGAGATCTAAATAAATGGAAAGATATACTGTGGTCATGGATTGGAAGACTCAACATAGTAAGGACATCAATTTTCTCCAAGATGATATACATGTTTAATGCAAATCCTATTAAAATTCCAGACAAACATTTTATAGATATAGACAAGATTACTCTCAAACTTATATAGAAAAGCAAAGGAACTAAAACAGCTAAAACATTTGCAAAAAGAAAAATAAAAACAGAAGAAACAGTCTGCCTGATTTCAAAGCTTTTTATAAAGCTACAGTAATCGGCCGGGTGCGGTGGCTCACGCCTGTAATCCTACCACTCTGGGAGGCTGAGGCAGGAAGATTCCTCAAGGTCAGGAGTTCGAAACAAGCCGGAGTAAAAGCGAGACCCCATCTCTACTAAAAATAGAAATTAATTGGCAAACTAAAAATATATAGAAAAAAATTAGCCAGGTATGGTGGCACATGCCTGTATGCCCAGCTACTTGGGAGGCTAAGGCAGGAGGATCACCTAAGCCCAGGAGTTTGAAGTTGCTGTGAGCTAGGCTGACGCCACAGCACTCTAGCCTGGGCAACAGAGTGAGACTCTGTCTCAAAAAGAAAAAAAAAAAAAAGCTACAGTAATCAAGACAGCATAGTATTGGCAGAGGGACAGATATAGATCAAAGGAACAGAACAGAGAATCCAATGATAGATCCACACAAATACACTGAAGCAATCTTTGACAAAGGTGCAAAAGCAATTCACGGGAGAAAGGATAGCCTTTCACCATTTGGCACTGGAGCAAGTGGACATCCATAGGCCACAGAAGAAAAAAAACAGGAAGAGATCCTCTGTCAGCCACATGGGATGAGAAAAAAAAGCAAATAAAAAAATAAGGAGGAGAAAATCTTCAGGATCTAGGGCTAGGTAAAGAGTTCTTAGACCTGACACCAAAAGCATGACCCATAAAAAGAAAAGCTGATACATGGAACTGTATCAAAATTTAAAATGTTTGCTCTGCAAAAGACCCTGTTAAGAGACTGAAAAGAGAAGTTACAGAGTGAGAGAAAATATTTGCAAATTATACATACAATAAAATACTCCAGAATAAGTAAAGAACTCTCAAAATTCAACAGCAAAAAACCAAATAATTCAATCAGAAATATCTCACAAAGAGACATTTCACTGAAAAGGAAATACATATGCCAACAAGCACATGAAAATATGTTCGAAATCACCAGCTGTTAGGAAAATGCAACTCAGATCACACTGTAATATCACCACACAACTGTCAGTACAGCTAAAATAAAAAAATAGAGACAACACCAAATGCTGGTGAGAAGAAACGAGACCACTCATACATTGCTGGTGGGAATGTAAAAAGATACAGCCACTCTGGAAAATGGTCTGCCTGTTTCTAAAAAACTAAACATGCAACTACTGTCTGACCCAGCAATTGTACTCATGATATATACCCAGAGAAATGAAAACTCATTTTCACATAAAAACCTGCACACAATTGTTTATAGAAGCTTCATTCAAGTTAGCCACAAACTGGACACAACCCAGACGTCCGTCAATGGATAAATGGTTAAATAAACTGTACATCCATACCATGGAAAATCACCCATCAATAAAAAGGAATGAACTGTAGAAACACAAAACAACCTGGATGACTCTCAGAGAATTATGCTGAGTGAGAAAAGTGAATCCCAAAAGGTTACATGTTGTATAATACTCTGGAAAAGTATAGACATTATAGAAATGGGGAACAGATTGGTGGTTTCCAGGGGTTAAGGGGGGGATCAGGGTTGGGAGGGAAGAGGGTGTGGTTATAAAGAGGCAACAAGAGGGTATTTATGGTGATAAAAATGTTCTGGATCTTGACTATATCAAAGTCGACATCCTGCTTGTGACAGTTCTACAAGATATTATCACTGGGGAAAGTGTGTAAAAGATATACAGTATATCTCTGTTGTTTCTTACAACTGAGTATGAGTCTATGATTATCTCAAAATAAAAGGCTTAATTTTAAAAAGGCAATATAAATGCCTTTAAATTAAAATGCTAAATGAATTCAATGCAATCATAAACTATTTCCCAAAGGAAAAATGTATTGTCTTTATTATACACAAATTAGTAAATCTCTCACTTGGTTGAGAAATTAAAAATTCTATTAAAACCCATTCATAACGATTATTAAGTAATACCTATGCATTTGGCTTTTTGTTGACTCTAATATAAAACTGTTCATGTTACAGAATTTAGGATGGGAGACTAACATGAATAAATGTCTTATAAAATCGGGGAGTTGCAATGTAGAAAACTACACCAAGAGGCAACCTGGTCAAGCTCCCTCATATTTTTGGTTCCCTTGTCAAACTCCTGCATATTTCTACATCACAGAGCCAAGTAGAATTTAGGACAAGAAACATTTGGGTTGGGATTACAATAGGCAGGACAGACTTTTATCATTACCATAAAGACGCTGGAACACATTGCTGCAAAACACCAAAATTCTGGCAATTTTCAAGCTTTCATTTAAATTAACATGGCACAGGTGTGGTGGATAAGTCAAGCAATGATTATTTGCTTTAAAAAGCACACCCCTCTTGCGATTGGCTTTGATTTACATGTAGCTCATACAGATGTATCATCAACTTTCCTTTTAAGGAAACTTAAAACTTTTCGTTTAAGAATCAACTATGTTTTAAACACAACCTTGTTTTAAAGAGTTTTAATATGATAGCGGGGTTTGAGAATCCCATTACCATACTCACCACGCAGGAATTAGTCATAAGAAATACACTAAACCTTTGGAAACAGAGAACAAAAAATATTGAAAATCTGTCATTATACAAAATATGACCTAAAACCACCTAGAACATGGGAGCACTCCTGGGCAACGGGACCAACAGTCTGTGCCCTGCGGTTCTACAGCCTGGTGCCAACCTGGCTCCACCACCTCCTAACTTTATAGCCGTGGGAGCTTGGCTCAACCTCTCTGGACCTCGGCTTCCTCACAGTAACATGGAAATAATATTCATCCTGCAGGTAAGATTAAGTGGGATAATATAAAATAAGCAGCTCAGTGCCTCACACATAGTAAACCCTCAAAGATGTTAACTATCACCGTAAATTTGTCCCCCAGAAAGAACACAGTTGCAAGCCCCTGCAGGACAACGCGTGGGTGCTCTTCCTCCAGTGTACTGACATGGCTGTTCATCTCATCTCCCGTCAACTTATCAGCTAGAAAAGATTCTCAGGCATGTTTGGCATACTTTGGTGTATACTGAAAAAAATATTTATATGTATTTTCAGCACTTACAAAGAAGTTGTTATGTCCAACTTTTGGTAGACATTTCATTAACTAATGAAATATTAGTTATTGACACATTCCCTTTCCAATCTCCATTTTAGAAATCTAAATAACCCACAGCTATGAAATTAACTTTAAAATTCTCTACTGAAAGATCTACGACCCTGAGCTCAGAGAAAATCTGCAGTGAACCCTGCAGAACAACCTTTTTGTGACACC